GAAATGGAGAAATTTCTAGAAAAATATAATCTTCCCAAACTGAATGAAGAAGAAGCAGAAAACCTGAACAGACCAATAACAGCTGATAAAATTGAAACAGTAATCAAAACACTCCTGACACACAAAAGCCCTGGACCAGATGGTTTCATAGGAGAATTTTACAAAGTATTTAAGGATGAGCTAACCCCTATCCTTCACAAACCATTTCCCAAAACCCAAGAAGATGGAAGGCTCCCAAACTCTTCAATGAATGATAGGGGTTAGCTCATCCTTAATCCAAAAACCAGATAAAGATATAACAAAGAAAGAAAACTTCAGGCCAATATCACTGATGAACATAGATGCTAAAATCCTCATCAAAATACTCACAAACTGTATCCAACAATATGTTAAAAACATCATACACCATGATCAAGTAGACTTCATCCCAGGGATGCAAGGATGGTACAATATTTGCAAATCAACAAATGTAATACATGACATAAACAAAACAAAAGACAAAAATCACATGATCATCTCAATAGATTTGGAAAAAGCATTTGATAAGATACAGCACCTGTTTATGATAAAAACACTTAGCAAGTGGGATTAGAGGGAGCATTCCTCAACATAATAAAGGCCATGTACGAGAGACCCAGAGCCAACATCATACTCAATGGGCAAAATTTAGAGTTTTCCCACTAAGATCAGGAACAAGACAAGGATGCCCACTTCCACCACTCCTATTCAACATAGTACTGGAAGTCCTAGCCACAGCAATCAGACAAGAAAAAGAAATAAAAGGCATCCAAATTGGAAAGGAGGAAGTAAAACTGTCACTGTTTGCAGATGACATGATAGTGTACATAGAAAATCCTATAAACTCCACCAAAAAACTACGTGACTTAATAAGTGAACTTGGAAAAACAGTGAGATACAAAGTCAATATTCAGAAATCAAAGGCATTTTTGTATACCAACAATGAAATATCAGAAACAGAAATCAGGAAAAAAAATCCCATTTGATATAGCAACAAGAAAAATAAGGTACCTAAGAATAAAACTAACCAAGGATGTAAAAGACCTGTACTCAGAAAATTACACAACACTGAAGAAAGAAACTAAGGAAGACACAAACAAATGGAAGCATATACCATGCTCATGGATTGGAAGAATTAACATCATCAAAATGTGCATACTACCCAAAGCAATTTATAGTTTCAATGCAATCCCTATTAAAGTACCAATGATATATTTCACAGATATAGAACAAACATTTCAGAAATTTATATGGAACCATAAATGACCCTGAATAGCTGTAGCAAGTTTGAGACAGAAGAACAAATTAGAAGGGATGGCAATACCTGATCTTAAACTGTATTACAAGGCAACTGTAATCAAAACAGTCTGGTACTGGCATAAGAACAGACACATAGACCAATGGAACAGAACAGAGAGTCCAGAAATAAACCCAAGTCTCTATGGTCAATTAATATTTTCAAAGAGGGAAGAAACATAAAATGGAGTAAAAATAGCCTCTTCAACAAAAGGTGTTGGGACATCTGGACCGCTATAGTCAAAAAAATGAAACTCAATCACCAACTTACACTATACACAAAAATAAATTCAAGGTGGGTAAATGACTTAAATATAAGTCATGACACCATAAAAGTCCTAGAGGAAAACATTGGCAGGAATATCTCAAGACCTTCCATGCAAAAATATCTTCACTGATATGTCCCCTAAAGCAAGGGACATAAAGGAAAGAATAAACAAATGGGATCTCATCAAATTAAAAAGCTTCTTAATGGCTAAAGAAAACAGCATTAAAGTGAAAATAGAACCAACTATATGGGAAAACATATTTGCCAATGATACCTTGGAGAAGGGTTTGATCTCTAAAATATATAAGGAACTCACATGACTCCACACCAGGAAGACAAACAATCCAATTAAAAAGTGGGCAAAAGACTTGAACAGACATTTCTCCAAGGAACACATAAAGAGGGCCCAGAGACATATGAAAAGATGCTCAGCATCACTAGCCATCAGAGAGATGCAAATTAAAACCACAATGAGATACCACTTCATACTGGTGAGAATGGCCATTATAAACAATTCAACAAACAAGTGTTGGAGAGGATGTGGAGAAAAGGAAACCCTAGTGCACTGTTGGTGGGAATGCAGACTGGTATAGCCACTGTGAAAAATAGTATGGAATTTCCTCAGAAAAATAAAAATGGAACTGCCTTTTGACCCAGCAATTCCACTGCTGGGATTATATCCTAATAGCCCTGAAACACCAATCCAAAAGAACCTATGCACCCCAATAATCATAGCAGGACAATGTACAGCAGCCAACTACTGGGAGCAATCTAAGTGCCTGTCAGTAAATGAATGGATCAAAAAACTACGGTACATTTACATAATGGAATACTATGCAGCAGAGAAAAAGAAGGAGTTCCTACCCTTTGCTACAGCATGGATGGAACTGGAGACCATTATGCTAAGTGAAATAAGCCAGGTGGTGAGGGACAATACTACGTGATCTCACCTTTAACAGGAACCTAATCAATAAAAGAAAAAAGCAAGCAAAATATAACCAGAGACATTGAAGTTAAGAACAATCTGACAGTAACCAGAGGGGAGGTAGGAGGGGATAATGGGGCGGTTTTCAGGAACAACTATAAAGGACACATGAACAAGGGTGGGGGTGGAAGCAAGGGAGGGAAGTGGGTTTGGCTGGGGTTGGGGGAATGATGGGGGATAAATGCAGACAACTGTAATTGAAAAACAAAATATTTTTAAAAAGTATTAAGTGCATACTATCTTCTAAGTAAGGTTCTATACTGCTACCATAGGAATATGACATAGCTGCTAACCAAATCTAGTAGGGGGTAGTGTAGTCTTTTTCCTTTCATTTCTAGGGGACAATGTGATCAACTGCAGGCGTTTGATGTTATTGTTTAATAAAAATTAAAATGTTTAGCACTTAGTAAATGTTCAAAAAATTGATTAGTACTTGATATTTTTACTATATTTTAACACAGGTGAGTCTTCCAAGTGACCAAACAGAAAATAAAAGTACAAAAGTTGAATCTTCTTGTGAAAATTAGCAAGAAGAGGGGATTGCTGCCATGGTTACAGAAAAGCACAGCATGGATACCATCCTGTAAACGGGCTCTGCTGGCCAAACAGTGATGGAAACCAATTTGCTTTCTTTTGGAGGAGGCATTGTAGCTATTGGCTCACTGTACCCTTTTGGATTTCCTGGAAAACTGAATTTACAGCAGGAGGAAGGGGAGGCAGTAGAAAGACCCTGGAATGAGAGTCAGAGATGAAGATAGATACTCATAAACATCAGGGTTCCAATGCTGGCCCAGCCATTCACAGCTCTGAGGCCAAGGACAACAGCACAGCAGTAATTCAGTTATGCAGACTGACTAACAGCCAGACACATGCAAAATCCTTCCAAATATGTTACCTCAGGATATGGGGTCAGGAAGTTGGGGGATAGAGAGTGGGTGCAGACATGATTATCCAAGAGATGGTTTTCACCTGCTATAACAGGAAAGACGGTCAGAAAAAACTCAGATGTAGTGGGAAAATGTGATGGGGTGAAAAGTAGAGACTGTTAACATTTTTGTATGGAGGAGAAACAGATTAATTACAAGAGAAGAGTAACATATGGGGGTGCAGGGATGGAGCAATAGACAAAAAGAATTCATGGACATGGACAAAAGTTTGGTGATTATGGGGTGGAGATGGAGGTGGAAGAGGTTATAAGGTGGATAAATGGTAATGGAAAAAATACAATGAAAACAACAGCCAAAAGTAGTTAGGGATAATTTCTCAAAGGAAGGGGTAAGCAAAATTTTAGTATTTAGGGAAGAGAGGAAAAATTTTCATGCAGAATGAGTATCATAAACAAAGATGTGAAAGGGCTGATTGTGAGGGACATATTGGCTCAAGCTTTAATGAATGTGGAACTGTGCTAGCCATGGGAATTGTACCATAAACAGAAATTGTGGAGGGCTTCTCATTGCAAGTCGGAGATTTACGACTTTATCACGGAGGCAACTATGAAGGACTTTGAACACTGTAAAAGCAGAATAGGTCTATGTTGTAGAGAGGTGGCAACAGGGGCAGGATGGGCTGGAAAGATCAAAGGTTTGAGGTATGGAGGGCATTTCTGAAGTGATAATAGTTCAGAGAGAATCCTTGGAATAAAATGTTGCCAAAAAAAACAAACAAACCCCACAGTTGTCTTGGAATAGCCTTGGTTAGAATGGTTATTATTTTTTATTTATCAACAAACCGGGGTAAGTTACTAAACCTGAGTCTCATATGTTCTCTAAAACTCTGCTAAGAATTGTATCATAAGTTTGGTGTGGAGAGTAAATAAACATATGAGGTTGCATGTGCATGGTGACTACTCAGGAAAAGGTATGTTAAAATCTCTCCCTTCTTTCTAAGTACAACCTGTGGGGTTTCTACCACTTCTACTTGGGCCCTTAGAGTTGTTCTGCAGTCCTCTCTCTCTCTCTCTCTTCTCCGTTGCTGGGCTGTATGCCACTTTGGGGCTCTTGAAGGGTCGGCTGCGCGTCTGTACTCCAGGCCTGGGTATTCCGGGCTCTGGGACTGTCCCTACACACAACACACTCTCAACAAAAGCAAATAGGACGTGCGGGGTGACAAGGCAGCCCGAGGCAGCGCACTCCGCAGGTATCTGCCACCCGCCTGCCGGACTCTCGGGTGCTAAGAGAACCCCGGTGTCAGAACGTGACGGGCAAAGTCCTGCTCTCCTAACGGGCAAGCAAGGTCCCTCTTGAGGGGCGCGGGCTAAGGGACGGAAAACCTAAGCCACACTCACTGCCAACTCAGAACAGAAATCCCCCTCCTCCAGGCCTTTAGAGGCTCACTCTCGGGAAAACCCAACGCTTTCCCTTTCTACGGCCCTTCTTCCCGCCTGGTTTTCAAGGAGTAGCCAGGAGGAAGGCGTAGCCGAGCGGGGCGGTGCGCGTGGGTGGGAGTTGTGCCGGGGGAGGGGAGTCCGGGAACTTTGAGACCCAGCCTCCAGGGGTCCCACCGTGGCATCCCGACAGTGCCCAGGACAGGCCAGCCTCTTCGGCCAGACCGCGCGCAGAGGAGAAACCGCGCCAGTCTGCAGAGTCGCAGCCCGCACCACGGGGAGAGACCTGAGCAGCTCACTGCGGTCGCGGGTCGCGCGCGAACCGGACTGCGGAAGAGGTGTCTGAGAGCATGGGCCGCTTCCCGCTGGAGACGTTGCTGCAGAGGCTACTCAGCCCCTGGGGCCTGGCCCTGGCCGCGGCCCTGCTCCTCCTGGTCCTGTGCCTACGTGCCCGGCGCACCAGGTAATGCCTCCCCGAGACCTCCCTGCGCGGCCCCGCGGCCGGGGCCACGCATGCGCTCTGGGACCCCTGGACCGTGCGCAAACCAGAGGACCTAGAGACCCCTCCAAGATTTTGGGAGCAGATAGTCGAAACTTGCGGGACACCGGCGCCTATTGAGATCCTGTGTAATGATAAAGGCTTTTTCTGCCTCTCTCCCGTACATACGCATACATATGAAAGCGCCGGGACCCAATTCGATATGCTGTTCCAGTACAGTTTGTAATAAGCCTTAGGTTTGTGTTATACATTATGCATGACGCACGGCTTCCAAACACATTTTGGTGCCTTCTTACAGCGAGTTGATAACTTCAACGCCTAGAATTCATTGAGCATTTCGGGAGGGGAATTTTGTTTTACATTTATTTCATTTGGTTAAAACTGAATGTTTCGGGAATTGTGTGGTATGGACGGTAACTCTGGGTGCCTCTCTGCTTCAGTTCACCTCATTGTACTTCATCTGGAAAAAGCGAAATAAAAGTACCTCTACCTTTCCTATTTCCCTCCATTCCCCTTTCCCTCTGGTAATCACCATAATGTTGTCTGTCTATGAGGGTCTTTTGTCTGTTTTGCTCAATCCCTTCACCTTTTTCACCCAGCACCCAACGCCCTCTCCTCTGACAGCTGTTGTTTTATTAGTCTGTTTCTTTTTTGTTAGTTTATTTTGTTCATTAAATTCTACATGTAAGTAAAATCATATGATATTTGTCTTTTTCTGGCTGCCTTATTTCACTTAGCATAATGTTCTCCAGTTTGATCCATGTCACAAAAGGTAAGATTTCCTTCTGTTTTTACAGCCAAGTAGTATTCCACTTTGTAAATATACCACAGATTTTTAAAAATTTGTTGACACTGTTACAGATGTCCCCATTTTCCCTGCCTTTGCCTTCCACCACCCAGCTCCCAACTGTGCCTATGAGTTATGTATATTCATTCTTCTGCTGATGGGCATTTGGGCTTTTAGTCTGATGTAGTCCCACCTTTTTTCCTTTTGTTTCCTTGTCTGAGGAGATATATCAGAAAAAATATTGCTGTGAGAAATGTCTGAGATTTTACTCCCTATATTTTCTTCTAGGATTTTTATGGTTTTGAGTCTAACATTTAAATCTTTAATCCATTTTGAGATTATTCTTGTATGTGGTGTAAGAAGGTGTTCTAGTTTAACTTTTTTTGCACATATCCGATTTTTCCAACACCATTTATTGACTAGAAAATCTGTCCACCACTATATGTTTTTCCCTCCTTTGTCAAATATTAATTGACTATAAAGGTGTAAGTTATTTCTGGGCTCTATTCTGTTCCAATAATCTAGGTGTAAAAGACCTGTACTTGGAAAATTATAAAATACTAAAGACAGACACTGAAGAAGAGCCCTGGCTGGGTAGTTCAGTTGGTTAGAGTGTCATCCTGATATGCCAGGGTTGCAGGTTTGATCCTGCAGTCAGGAAACATACAAGAATCAACCAATGGCCCTGGCTGATGTAGCTCAGTGGATTGAGCACCAGCCTGCGAACCAAAGGGTTGCCAGCACGATTCCTGGTTGGGGCACATGCCTGGGTTGTGGGGCCAGGCCCCCAGCTGGAGGCACATGGGAAGCAATCACACAACAATGTTTCTCTCCCTCTCCCCTTCCCTATCCCTCTCCCCCAAAATAAATAAAATCTTTTAAAAAAATCAGTCAATGAATACATAAATAAGTGGAACAATAAGTCAATCTCTCTCAATAAATAAATGAATAAGTAGATAAAAATGTTTAAAAAGAAATTGAAGAAGATACAAGTAAGTAGAAGCATATACAATATTCAGGAAGAATTAACATCATTAAAATGCCCACACTTCCCAAAGCACTCTATAGATTTTTTTGCAATTCCTATCAAGATACCAATGGCATATTTTGCAGAAGTAGAACAAACATTCCAAAAATTGATATGGAACCACAAAAGGCCCCCAAATAGCCACAGTAGTCTTGAGAAAGAAGAACAAATTTGGAGGAATAACTTTACCTGATATCAAACTATACTACAAGGTCATAGTATAGGCCAATCAAAACCATCTGGTACTGGCATAAAAATAAAGGTCTAGATCAATGGAAGAAAATATATTTTAGACACCTTTCTATGTCATGTTATTGAAATCATTATTTGTAATTATTTTATAGAGATATACCATGCTGACACACAGATATCTTTGTGTTTTGGGGAAGTATTTGTGTAGGATTTTGGAGTTGTCAAATATACATGTGCCTCACATTTTAATAGATGTCACCAAAGTACTCTAAGTCCCAATTTATGTTACTACTAATGAGTTATGTAAGCTCCAGCTTCTCCTTTTCCTGTCATACTGGTATAAGTCATTTTAATTTCACCAATTTGATATTAATAAAAATAAACCTTTACATCATCTCAATTTTTATTTATTTACTTTTGAGGGACTTTGGAATTCTTAAAGGAGATAATTATCTCTTTGTTTTTGTATGGTTAATAATGAATGATCATTAACTACTTCTGATTATTAGGAGCTGTTATATAAAAGGTATCTTTAAACTTTCATATGAGCTATAATTATTTTTACTATTGTTATTAGTATTTAAGAGTTTCTGGATATACCTCTTGCTTAGAAAGCCCATCCACACTTCAACATGATAAAAACATTCACCATTATTTTCCATTTAGTTTATTTTTGAAGTATTTTACACATACATATTACATTTTTATTTTCATTCAATATCCATCCTTTGAACAATTATGTCGGACAAGTTTGTAATATAGCATAATATAGGAATGCTGGATATTCTAAAGCAAACATTTAAATGTTACCTAAAAAATTGGTAAAAATTTTTCAAAATAGGTAGACATCAGCTCAGAGGTCATTTGTTGTCCTTGGCCACCTACCAGCTCATTCCTCCTCTTTTGAATATAGCACTTGGATTTCCTTCTGTGAAATTGTTTTCCCTTTTAGATATGATCTGGTGAGACTGTCAACCACAGAAGCTGTTACAGTGTCCTTCAGGAGAGAGTACAGTGGCTTGACCTAGAGTTGTAACTGTGGGGTTGATGGAAAGTAAGTAGAATCAGGATATATTTTTGGTGGTAAAGTCAATAGGACACACTAAAGGAATTAACATGGCATATAAATGAGAGAAACGTCAACAATGAAGTTTAGAAGGTATTTTTTCTCCATTTTTTATGCTTCTTGTCTGATCATCTGTGCATAGTGTGATGTTGTTTCCTGAGATAGGATTTCTGGGATTTGAGGAGTTCAAAAATTTGATAGGTAATGGGGTATGTATTTCTGGTGCTCAGGGGAGACGTCCAGGCAGGATATAAAATCGTGAAAGTCACAAATATGAAAGTGGCATGTAAAGTCATGAGTGTTGATTTGATCACCTGGTGAGTGAGTCTGATGGAGAAGTAGAGGGCCCCGGCCACTCTCCCCGCTGAAGAGGCTGTCAGAGAAAGAGGAACCAGTAGACTGAGAAAGAAGAGCCAATGAAGGGGAAAGAAACTCAAATGAAGTTGGTGTCCTGGAAGCTAGGGACAAATGTCAACAAGTTGGGGGAGTTATTTGTGTCAAATGTTGCTAAGAAGTCTAGTTTGATGAGGACAAAGAAATTAGTATCAGTTGACAAGATGCAAAATTGGTAAGAGCTATGCAAAGAATTGGTGGGAATGAGTCTCTTTGAAGTGGATTGAAATGCTGTCCTACCTAGCTTCTGAGATTTTATACTCAGACTAGAATGCAATTCAATATTATATTTTATATCTCTTGAGTCCATAATTCCAGTAATTTTATTTAAAAGAATTTCTCTTGGTGAAATAATCATGAAGTTTCTTAAAAATTTAACCTTGACACAGTTCATTAGGACTGCTTATTATAGTGAAACATTAGGAAAAAACTAGATTATCAAAAAATGCCTTATTTAAAGTATTATTTATTGCTTTAAATGCTTTATTTAAAGAAATTCTAGTATGTCCAATAATAGAAAATCATGTAGCCATAAAACATATAATGTAGAATATACAAAGATATGGAAAGCCATATTCAAGCTATATTAAGTAATAAAAATTATAAAACAACATGTTCATATACACGGTATTAATGACTTCCAGCCAGAGACCAATAGGAACACACCTATATTTGAGCAAGAAGATTTATTGTTTATTGTTTATTGCAGTGAAAAAGAACACATACCATTCAGTCTCCATAGAAAACAGTTAAAAAGACTATTTTGAGCATGTGGTTTAGGACTTTGGAGAGGGTTTAAGGAAACAAGGTTTTGCTCTATTGGTAAAGTACTGTCAGAAAGTGGAAGCTGTTCTGATTGAACATTATTTTTTAATTCCATTTTATTTATTTTTACTGTTTAAATTCTATTTTTCAATTCAATATTATTTTGTATTAGTTTCATGTGTATAGCACAGTTAAACCACCATGTACTTTACAAAGCATTTCCCCAATATTTCCAGTGCTCACTTGGCACTATACATAGTCATTACAATATTATTGACTTCTGTCCATGTTCATGAGTCCTTTTTCTTTTTTGCTCATTCCTTCTACTCCCAAAGCCCCATGCCCCTCCGCAGAGCTGTCAGCCTGCTCTCTATCTATAAGTCTGTCTCTACTTTGCTTGTTAGTTCAGTTTGTTCATTAGATTCCACATATGAGTAAATCATATGGTATTTGCCTTTCTCTGACTGGCTTATTTCCCTTAGCATAATGTTCTATGGGTTCATCCATGCTGTTGCAAAGGACAAAAAATTTTTTTAATGGCTATGTAGTATTCTATTGTGTAGATGTCCCATAGTTGTTTTATCTACTCATCTACTGATGAGCGTTTCCATATCTTGGCGATTGTAAATAATGCTGCAATGAACATAGGGGTGCTTAAGCTGGGCAGCTGAGTAGTATAGCTGGAGACATTGATTAAGCCTAAGAGAAAGCCTGCAGGCAAAAGTGGATCTCTG